CTACCGCTTGAGCCACATCCCCAGCCCTTATTTTTTAAATATTCATTTTTTAGTTGTAGTTGGATACCATATCTTTAATTAATTTATTTATTTCTATGTGGTGCTGAGGATCGAACACAGGGCCTTGCCCACGGTAGGCGAGTGCTCCACCGCTGAGCCACAACCCCAGCCCCATCATCCCTTTTTAACATTTATTTTGCAGTAGGGTCTCACTTAAGTTGCCCAGGCTGGCCTCCAACTTGTGATGCCCTGTGTTAGCCTCCCGAGTACCTGGGATTACAGATGTGCGCCACCACAGTCTCTTTACAGATATGCTATAATGTCTCCCATCTTGGGAAAAGAAAGAAAATTATAATAATAATAAAGACCTTGTAGCTGCTTTCAGTTATACCATATATTTCTTCTGTACTCCTTAAAAGCAATGAGAATGACTCATACTTACCGTCTCCACTTTTCCTCCCCTGTTCACAGTGCTCGTCTCCCAGGTACTTGCTAGGCGTATTCCTCATTTAATTCAGATTTCTGCTTAGCTGGCAAATCCTCAGCACAGTCTCCCTTCACCACTGAACTCAAAGGTCACCTCCTTTACCCTGCAGAACACAACCAAACTGACCTCCACTGTACACTTACATGTTTTTAAGTGTGAAAGGCTCAAGAAGGAAAGGCATTTGCTTACCATTGAATCTCAGCAGTTAAACAGTGTCTGACTTCTCTATTGGGTGCTCAATAAAATATTAAGTGACGGGGCTGGGGCTGTAGCTCAGTGGTAGAGCAGTTGCCTGGCACATGTGAGGCACTGGGTTTGATCCTCAGCATAACATAAGAATAAGTAAATAAAATAAAGGTCTAAAAATATTAACTGACAGTCTTAGTGAGTTTTGGCTACTATAACGGAGTACTATTATAATCTGAGTGGTTGACAAACAACAAAGTTCATTTCTCCTAGTTGTGGAGGCTGGAAGCCCAAATCAGGGTGCCAGAGTCGTTGGGTTCAGGCGAGGGCCTCTTCCGGGTTGGCCTCTTCCAGTTCTGTCCTTACCTGGGCAAAAGGCTCAAGAGCTCTCTGGGRTCTTGTTTTTGTTTTTATTTTTTGGTACTGGGGATTTAACACAGGGGCACGTAACCACTGAGCTACATCCCCAGTCCTTTTCATTTTTGAGACAGGGTCTTGCTAAATTGCTGAGGCTCACCTGTAACTATCCATCCTCCTGCCTCAGGCTCTGGAGTCACTGGGATTAGGGGCCTGTACCACCGTGCCCACTCTGGGGTCTCTTTAAGCAAGGGCACTAATCTAATTCAGGAGGGATCCGCCTTCACGACCCAAGGCTACACCTAATACCGTCACACTGGGGTTTGGGATTTTGTTATGGATTGGATTRGAAATGCCCCCCAAAGTCTCATGTATTCACGGTGGGGGCTTTTGGGAAGTGACTGGATCATGAAGGCCCTGACCCGCCATTCAGTTCACCTACTGGAGGCAGGATGGACCACTGGGAGGTGGGACCTGGTTGGAGGAAGTAGGTCCCTGGGGCGGCCCGGCCCAGGAGGGTGCATCTCTCTCTTGCCTCCCACCCCACTTTCTGGCAGCCGTGAGCTGACAGCTTTAATACCTCTGGGCCTGGCGCCACGGTGTTGCACTTGACCTGTGGCCTGAAGCAGTGGCACCAGCTGACTATGGACTGAAAGCTCTGAAACCACGAGCCCAAATAACTGGTCCCCACTCCAAGTCRTTTGTGTCAGGAAAACACACAATGAAAAGCCGACTGACAGAGAGATCTCAACATGGGTTTTGCAAGGACACAAAATGCAGTCCATGAGGGACTGGGATGAGCTCAGTGGCAAAGTACTTCCCAGGCAAAGGCCTGGGTTTGATCTCCAGTTCTAAAAAAAACCAAAACAAACAAACAAACAAAAGCCCAACCAAGAAAGGACTGAGGGGGCTGCGGGTATAGCTCAGCAGTAGAGTGCTTGCCTAGTATGCATGAGGTCCTGGGTTCAGTCCCCAGCACCCTCCCCAAAAGCAGGGGCTGGGGATGCTCACTGATAAAGAACTACTGGGCTCACTTCCCAGTACAAAAAAACCCCTAAAATTCAGTCCACGAGAATGGGTGAATATAATTGTAAAAAAATTTAAAAATGAAAAAAATTTCCAGTGAGTGAATGAATACATTTTTTTTTTTTTTTTTTTTTTTGGTACTAGGGGTTGGACTCAGAGCCACTCAGCCACTGAGCCCTGTCCCTGGCCCTACTTTGTATTTTATTTAGAGACAGGGTCTCACTGAGTTGCTTAGCGCCTCACTGTTGCTGAGGCTGGCTTTGAACTTGCGATCCTCCTATCTCAGCCTCCTGAGCTGCTGGGATTACAGATGTGTGCCACTGTACCCTACTTGAAAGAATACATCTTTTATATATTGTTCTACAAATAGCTTTTTAAAAAATGTAACAGTACATATAGGATATTTTCCCATTAAAGAAATGATAGACTGGGTGTGATGGCGCACACCTGTAATCCCAGTGGCTCAGGCTGCTGAGACAGGAGGATGGTGAGTTCACAGCCAGCCTCAGCAAGGCAACTCAGTGAGACCCTGTCTCTAAATAAAATACAAAATTGGGCTGGGGATGTGGCTCGGTGGTTGAGTTCAATCCCTGGTACCAAAAACAGTTTAAAAAGTGTTGTGGATCAGTCATTAAATGCCCCTGGTACCAAAAATAAAATAAAATAAAATAAAATAAAAATAAAGATTAAAAAAATAAAAAGGGCTGAGACACAGCTCAGTGGTAGAGCACCCGTGGCTTCAATTCCCAGTACCACAAAGCTGGGGAGAGCGGGAGGACTTGAGCTCTCCTATAAATTAGCTTTAGAGGTTTGGCAGATCTTCTCTGCCTTCGTTCACATGTTGATCTAAATGTTGAGCATCAAGCTCAACAGAGGTACCTTTTTTGCTTTAATATTGACCCTTTACTCAACAATCAAGTTTTCTTTCTTTCTTTCTTTCTTTTTTTTTTTTTTTTTTTTTTTTTTTTTTTTTTTTTTTTTTTTTTTTTTGTGGTGCTGAGATTGATCCCAGGGCCTTGTGCATTTGAGGCAGGCCCTCTACCACTGAGCTATGTCCCCAGCCCTACGATCAAGTTTTCTATTGTGATTGTCTGGTAACAAATCCTTTTATCACGAAAGTCTGGCTTCCAGTATCCCTGGGTTTCACAGGCCCGTCCTGAGAGACTTTATCAAGGGCCCCTGGAAAACAAGATACCCTGTGTCTTTGCCATTCCCTGATCTACCGGGTACTGGCCCAGCTGGACACAGGAGAACACTGAAGGGTGATGCAAATGARCAGCTACTACTGTGAGGGAGGAGGGTGGCTGAGAAGGCCTCCGGGGAGCCAGGTTGGATCTGTCCCCACAAAGGCTCCCTGAGTATTATTGGGTCAACCCGGACTGGTGCAGTGGTGTGCTAGCGCCAGCTCTGCCTGCCGGTGAGAGCAGATTGTGTGCGTCTCTCTCCAGCTCTGTGTCCGGTGACATCCTGTTTGTAGTGTATGCTAGGCCGCGATGGGAGTATTTATGTCAGAGCAAACCGTCAGAGCAGGCCCCTCCACCTCCCGCTGGTGTCCTGGAAGTTGGGACCCCAGGGCAGCCCAGCCCAGGACCGCAGCCTTTTCCTTGAGGTCAGGGGCAGGGCTGGTGCTCTCTGAGGGGCGGGCTGTCAGAGGATGGTAAGCTAGCAAATCTCCCCTCTTCCTGTCCCAAGATCCCTCCTCCTAACCTGCCCTTCCCTTTTAGGATGTGGGCTCCCTAGATGAGAAGATGAAGAGCTTGGATGTGAATCAGGACTCGGAGCTCAAGTTCAATGAGTACTGGAGACTGATTGGGGAGTTGGCCAAGGAAATGAGGAAGGAGAAGGCGCAGGAGATCCGGAAGAAGTAGAGCTGCTGGCCGGGATGGCGGTGGGGAGAGTAGGCCTGGCAGGGCCAGGAGAACCCATCACTCCCCAAATAAACCTTCTCCCTCGAAACACACAGGCTTCTTTCTTTTTTCAAAATATTTTTTAGTTGTTGATGGACCTTGACTTTTTATTTATTTCTATGTGGTRCTGAGGTTCGAACCCAGGGCCTCACCCATGCTAGGCAAGCGCTCTACCTCTGAGCCCCAGCTCCAGCCCCTGGCACGTTTCTTATTCACATCCCGTACTGATATCTTCTCTTGAGATGGGGGGTGGGGGAACTGCCCTGACCTGAGGGCGAGTCTGAAAATTATGAGCTCTTTGAATACAGGGACCGTGAATTCATCTTCAGATATCCCACAGCGTCTAACATGAGGTCTGGTCCTGATTAGGTGCTCAGTGAATAAATGGCTAGATTGGGCATTGTGGTGCACTTGGATTTGGGAGGCTAAGGCAGGAGGATTGCAGGKTTGAGGCCAGCCTGGTGAGGCCCTGTCTCAAAAGAAAAAATAAGAGGGACTGGGGATGTAGCTCAGGGGTACAGCATATCTGAATTCAATCCCCAGTCTAAAATAAAAATAAAAACCTAAGAAGTAAAAAAATAGGTAAGTAGATAAGTGGTTGATGAATAAATATGTGAAAGAKGCAGAGATCTGGTTTCTATCCTACCAGGTGTCTCCTGGGGCTCAGTTGCACAGTTATAACCCCAGTTTTCCCTATCCTATCCCTAGAGTTTGTCCCAGGATGATAATGACAGCAGCGAGCAGGTGTCACTGGCTTACGATATGTCAGGCATAGGCTGAACATGTTACCGATATTATTTTAGTTAATTTTCACAACTTTTTTTTTTTTTTTTTTTGGTACTGGGGAGTGAACCCAGGGGCACTCAACCACTGAGCCACACCCCAGCCCTTTTTTTGTATTTTTATTTAGAGACAGGGTCTCACTGAGTTGCTTAGGGC